AACTGCCCTCAGGAAAACTGTGCCCATCTCGTTGACCTCATCCTCTCTCTGTACCCTCTCAGCAGGTCCCTTGGGAAGACAAGGGGCATTTCTGTGGCCTGGTCAGTTCCCAGGTTACTTGAGTCCTCATCTGTTGGGGGTGTTTCCTACATATTTTTAGCAGAGATCCCACTTTTTTATGTTTTTCTGTGCTGCTGTGCATGTCCAGATTTTTGCAGGGTCCAAGGCAGACATTCCCGAGCACACGTGTGTCAGTTGTGTGTGTGATGCCCATCAGGAGGGCACAGGAAAGTTCCAGCTCTGGCTCTGCCCTGGGTGTTCCTTGAGCACCACAGAGTAGTGGTTGCCCCCACCAGAAGGAGCCAATCTCCAGCTGAACAGCGCTGCCCTTCACCCTGCACAGAAGTGTCCAGACAACTGGAATGCAGCCTCTGCCTCCTGCACCCTCCACCTGTTGCTTTCTGTTCAGGGGGAAAGCCAAGAACTCCTGTCCCCTGAGCAGGCCCTGATCCCTGAATCAATTCCCTGCGGATGGAATGCTGCTGAGAGCCTGTGCCAAGTGTGTGTGGAACTGAAGGGATCAGGGTCCAGATGTTGCTCTGCTGGGAGATGTAGGACAGACCTTCTGGGTGGCACTGGGACAGTCAAAGAGCTGTGGACTCGTTTGGGTGTTTGAGCACCAGGATTTCCATAGCCCCCAAAAAGCTGAATCAGAGTTGTCAGCAACTGTGTCTAGGCAAACAGGGACATGTGATTCAGGGCCAAATTACACAAACTCATCTCCCCATTAAGAGGGAGGCCAGGCAAATTCCCTCTTTGCTGAGGGAGCAGAAATATCACTTCTTAAGTTATTCAAATTTACATCCATCCCTTTCTGATGCCTGGACTGGTGCTTTGCAGTTGAAATTCTTATTCATCGAGTTCTCCTTCGCTCTGTGTTGGACACTCTGTATTGTGTAGATGTGCAAGTTTTGGGTGCTGGGGGAGAAGGCTGCTGGGATGGGCTCTGTCAGAAGGGTCCAGTGGCTCCTGCTGGTCTGAGAGACTCAGTTCCAACAGTCTCCAAAAGGGAATCAACTCTGCCCAACACTCAGCACACTTGTCATATGGGTGATGGCCCAGTGAAAAGCTATTCCATCAGAAATTTATTTGGGTTGAGAAGGAACTTGGTGACCATTTACTTCCACACATCCTATCCCCAAAAGCTTTGCAGAAATGCCACCTACTAAACCCAAAGCCCTGTCCAATCTCACCTTGAACACTTCAAGGGTTAAGGCATCCACAACAATTCTGGGAAGCTTTGTGAGCTCCAAGAGAAAGGGCACAAAGGAAAATCAACTGCAGAGAGTCCCACCCTCTGCTTCCTCCACCTTCTTCCCTGAGCTCAATGGAAGAGTTGCCACAGAAGGAAAGAGGACTCAGAGGCCCAGGCTTGGATGCAAAACAACTTTATTAAGTCTAAAGAAGCAAAGGAGGTGGCTCACAGAGGGCACCAGCAGCAGCCACTGACATGCAGTGCGGGTGTCCCTCTGCCTGCGCTGCAGAGGGAGGGAGGGAGGCCAAAAGGTCCCCAGGAGGGTGGCATTGGGTGGTGGTGACAGGACAGGAAGGGAAGAGAGAGAAGAGAGAAGGAAAGAAGAGGTAGAAAGTCTAAATGCTGTGTCCCAAAGTTCTGTTTTCAGTCCAGAAGAACAATCAGAGGTCTTGCAGGTTGTTGCCCCAGGATGTTTGCAGGGCCATTAGCAGGGCCCACATCTGGAAGGGTAGCAGCTGGTGATGCAGGAGAGGTCAAAGCCCCCGGAGTTGATGGGCACTCCGTCACAGCTGAGGATGCTGCCAACGGCAGCGGAGGTGGAGGATCCCACCACGGTGTTCTGTGGGAAGGAGCTGAGGATGGGCCCGGGCAGGGTCACCAGCACAGCAGGAGGTTCAATGACGACGGTGGAGCTCTGGCACTGCCTGACACAGCACTCATTGCAGCTGTTGGCCAGCGGGGTGGGCCCGCAGGGCTGGCAGCAAGGGTTGCAGGGCTGGCACTGCTGGCACTTCTCAGGGCACGACATGTCTCGAGCCTGGGGCTGCACCTGGCACACAGGGCAGGAGCAAGCAGAGCACACGCACACCTCAGCAACAGCCCGCCAAGCACCACCAGCAAGCCAAGGCACCTGCTGCTGCCTGGCCAGGGACAGGCTCTGCAGGGGCCAACAAGGCAGCCTTGCCCTGAGCCCAGCAGGGCCTGCACACATCAGCCAGGCCCAGGGCTGCTCCTGCCTAAGCTGCAGGAAAAGAACCCCCTCAGCCCAGCTCAGCCTCTGGCCACAACACACGCTCTGCCCACTGCCCACACCACCCCCATCCCAGAGCCCTCCCACAACAACAAGGAGCAGGGATGGGCTGCAAAGCTCCACCCTGTGCTAGAGAGGGGAGGAGAAAGGGGGTGTCCACTCACTGGGTTGCTGAGGACAAGGAGGTGGCAGAAGGGCTTGAGAGAGCCACCAGTCAGGCTGGCTTTTATGCTGGCCCCACAGAGCCTCAGGGCCCAAAGGCCGTGCTGCATAAGTGACAATTTTCCTGCATGATCCCAGTGAATGGAAACATCTCTTCCCTTCCTGTCCTGTCACCACCACCCAATACCACCCTCCTGGGGACCCTGTGGCCCCTGGGGACTCCCTGCAGTGGATTTTGCTTTGTGCCCTTTCCCCTGGAGCTCACAAACATGTCCCTGGCTAATCCAAAGCAAAGATTAACAGGGGGATGATGGCTCCAAACGGACAGGTGTGGGGATGTGAAACAGCAATGCCTCGGCACAGCCCACAACCTCATCTCTTCCTACACCTCCCTTGCATTCACTGTTCTGTCCAGCTTCTGTCCAGACAGGCAGGGCTGAGCTTTTTCACGTGTGAGGACTGGGATCAGCAACAGAAAAGAGATCAGGTATTTGGGATCAGATATTTGGTGGAGCCCTTTGCAGGTGGATGTACCATGAAAGAAGCTGTGACCCCATGAAGAGCCCGCCCTAGAAAAGATTCCTGGCAGGAATGTCCACTGCAGTGGAGAGAAGCCCGCAGTGGAGCAGGTCCTGCTGCTGGGACCTGTTATCCTGTCTGTGAGCTCTGCTGCAACATTCCCTCTGCAGGAGGGTCTGGACAGGCTGGGTACATTTGCTATGGCAGCAGAGGGAGGTTCAACAAGACCAAGTGCCAGGTGCTACAGATGGGCTCCAATAACCCCCTGAAGCTCTACAGGCTGAGGGCAGAGCAGTTGGAAAGAGGCCCAGCAGAAAAGGACCTGGGGCTGCTGATGGACAGTGGCTGATCAGGAGCCAGACTGGGCCCTGCTGGGCAAGAAGGCCAAGGGCATCCTGGCCTGTATCAGGATTAGTGTCCAGCAGAACCAGGGCAGTGACTGTCCCCCTGTACTCAGCACTGGTGAGTCCCAGCTGACTGAAAGCTGGTAAACATTGTCCCCATTTTCAACAAAGAAAGGAAGGAGGACCCTGGGAACTGCAGGCCTGTCAGTCTCACTTCATGAAGGACCTGATAAATTGATGGAGAAGGTGTTCCTGGGAGGTATTGAAAAACATCTGAAAGACAATGCAGTCACTGGTCACAGCCAGCACAGCTTCTTGAGGGGAGAGTCCTGCTCCTGCAACCTGATCTCCTTCTAGGACAAGGTGACCCACCTGGTTGATCAAGGGAAGCCAGCTGATGTGATCTTTTTGGATTTCAGTAAAGCTCACAGTGCGGTGTCTCGCAGGATCCCTCTGGACAAACTGTCCAGCTCAGAGCTGGGTAAACACATCCTGTGCTGGCTGAGCAAGTGGCTCACGGGTCGGGCACAGAGGGTGGCAGTGACTGGGGTGACATCAAACTGTGGCCTGTCACTAGGGGGGTTCCACAGGGCTCCATCTTGGGCCCTGTGCTCTTTGACTTCTCCATCGATGACTTGGACACAGCACTGGAAGGGACTCTGAGCAAGTGTGCAGGTGACCCAAAACTGGGAGGGGCTGTTGAGTCCCTTGAGGGCAGGGAGGCCCTGCAGAGAGACCTTGGCAGATTGGAGAGCTGGGCAAGCAGCAGCCATGGGAACTTCAACTGTGGGAGGTGCCAGATTCTGCAGCTGGAATGGGGCAACCCTGGATGTTTTGGAGAATGAGAGGCTGGAAAGCAGCGCTGCTGGAAGAAATCTGGTGGTTTGTCTTCTCCAAGATAAACCCCCTGCTCCTTCAGCCTCTCTTCACAGGTTATACTGTCTAGACCCTTCTCCGGCTTCATTGCCTTCTTCTGGACTTGTTCCAGAACCTGAATGCCTTGCTTGAATTGAGGGACCCAGAACTGGACACAGCACTCAAGGTGTGACCTCACCAATGCACAGTAGACGGGCACCTTCACTGCCCTGGTCCTGCTGGACACTATTCCTGATACAGGCCAGGATGCCCTTGGCCTTCTTGGCCAGCTGGGCACAGTCTGGTTCCTGTTCCACCACTGTCCACCAGCAACACCAGGTCCTTTCCCACTGGGCCTCTTTCCAACCGCTCTCCTCCAGCCTGCAGGGGGTTATTGTGGCTAAAGTGTAGGACCTGGAACTCAGCCTTGTTGAACCTCACACTGTGGGCTCGGCCCAGATATCCAGACTGTCCAGACCCTCCTGCAGAGGGAATGTTGCAGCACATCTCCCTGACAGTGAACAGGTCCCAGCAGCAGGACCTGCTCCACTGTGGCCTTCTCTCCACTGCAGTGGACATTCCTGCCAGGAATCTTTTCTAGTAAAGGCTCTTCATGCTGAAGTGACAAAACTCAGTGACCACCAAGTGTCATCCAGGAGGTATTCCCTTTATTGGGGCACTGGGCAGCACGGGTGACATCTCCCCTAACATGCACACCTGTCAGAACAGTGTAGGCCTCTTATGTACATTTACAGTATTCCTAGTCATTACAGTTCTTGGAATGGGCAGGTTTAAGCCAATTATTTCTCAGAACTCATTTCCATGGTTTCTGCCTCCTTGTGCGTGTGTTACCACCCAGAGGGTCTTTGAGGGTCGTCAGATGAAGGCTCAAGACCTTCCTCTTGGTGACACTTTTGAACTGTCCTTGCTGTGCAGGCTCTCTGCCACCTGGGTTAATAGCCAGACCACAAGTCCTGTTTGTACCAGTTCAGGTCCTGTATCTGGGGTGTGAAGCACCATATTGCACCCATCACTTGGACATTAGATACATCCTGTGAGTACTGCTGCTCCCAAAAATAATTCCTGAGATGTGCTTTATTTTCACAAGGTTACAGGTTAACTCTCTTTTACTTACAAAAGATTAAGGGTTTATACTTGGTTTCACCTGATTCCTGAGGAGAAGGAGGTGAGAAAAGTGGTTGAGGGAGCAGAGACTTGGGCTGCCTTTTATAGCAGTCCTGCTCTGCCTCAGGCCCACAGGCACCTTTGTGGAAGTCATAATTTTCTCACCAGCTCATGCCACTTGTGAACCATCCCAGCTAATGGTAGGAGCTGTGTCCTGGTTTCCTGCACTGCTGCCTTTTCATTTCCTGCCTAATTCCACGTGCCTTCCTATATGAAAGCTTCTGGAAGTGCTGGGATGAGAATCTCAAGGATTTCCGGGGCAGAAAGGCATCAGCACAGGCAGAAGTCTCAGATCAAGGGCTGTTGTCATCCTGTGAATGCAGGTGATGTTCACCTGGGTCATTCCTGTGGTCTTGTTTGTGGCAAAGGTGTCAGCAATTGGGCATCGCTCTCGTGCTTCTCGCCCGCCTGCCCAAGGACTGCCATGGGAGGGACATCCCAGCGTGTCCTCACAAGAGCCCCCAGCTGATGATGTTTCTTGGCCAGGTAAGGACATAGACCTGGTCAGGAGAGTCTGTGAAGCTCCTGTGCAGGGGTCCCCCCTGGGGTGGCCATCATAGAATCATAGAATAGATTGGGTTGGAAAAGACCTCCAAGATCATCAAGTCCAACCCCTGATCCAACTCTAATTACTATATCATGGCACTAAGGGCCATGTCCAATCTCTTTTTAAAAACCTCCAGGGATGGTGAATCTACCACCTCTCTGGGCAGGCCGTTCCAATGCCTGATCACCCTCTCTGTAAAGAATTTCTTCCTAACGTCTAACCTAAACTTCCCCTGGTAGAGCTTGAGCTCATGTCACCTTGTCCTCTTGTTGGTTGCCTGGGAGAAGAGACCAACCCCCACCTGGCTATAACTTCCCTTCAGGTAGTTGAAGAGAGTGATGAGGTCACCTCTAAGCCTTCTCTTCTCTAGACTAAACAACCCCAGCTCCCTCAGCCTCTCCTCACAGCACTTGTGCTCAAGTCCCTTCACCAGCCTGTTTGCTCTTCTCTGCACCTGCTCCAGCACCTCAATATCCTTCCTGAACTGAGGGGCCCAGAGCTGAACACAATACTCAAGGTGTGGCCTCACCAACGCACAGTACAGGGGAAGGATCACTGCCCTGCTCCTGCTGGCCACACTGTTCTTGATGCAGGCCAGGATGCCATTGGTATCTTGGCCCCCTGGGCACACTGCTGGCTCATGTTCAGCCTCCTGTCAATCAGCACCCCCAGGTCCCTTTCCACTTGGCTGCTCTCCAGCCACTCTGTGCCCAGCCTGTAGCGCTGCAGGGGGTTCTTGTGGCCAAAGTGCAGGACCCGGCACTTGGCCTGGTTGAACCTCATCCCACTGGAATCGGCCCAACTCTCCAGTCTGTCCAGATCCCTCTGCAGAGCCCTCCTGCCTTCCGGTAGGTTGACACTCCCCCCCAGCTTGGTGTCATCAGCAAATTTGCTGATGATGGACTCAATCCCCTCATCTAGATCATTGATAAAGATGTTAAACAGGACTGGGCCCAGCACCGATCCCTGGGGGACACCACTGGTGACTGGATCCCAGCTGGATGCAGCCCCGTTCACCAGCACTCTCTGGGCCCGGCCCTCCAGCCAGTTCCTAACCCAGCACAGAGTGCCCCTGTCCAAGCCATGAGCTGCCAGCTTTTCCAGGAGTATATTATGGGAGACAGTGTCAAAGGCTTTGCTGAAGTCCAGATAGACCACATCCACAGCCTTCCCCTCATCCACCAGGTGAGTCACCTGATCATAAAAGGAGATCAGGTTGGTCAAACAGGATCTGCCTCTCCTAAACCCGTGCTGGCTGGGTCTGATCCCTTGTCCATCCTGTAGGTGCTGTGTGATTGCACTCAGGATGATCTGCTCCATAACTCTGCCAGGCACCGAGGTCAGGCTGACAGGCCTGTAGTTACCAGGGTCAGCCTTGCAGCCTTTTTTATGGATTGGGGTGATATTTGCCAACTTCCAATCATGTGGGACCTCCCCACTGAGCCAGGACTGTTGGAAGATAATGGAGAGCGGCTTGGCAAGTTCTTCTGCCAGCTCCCTCATTACCCTAGGATGGATCCCGTCTGGTCCCATAGACTTGTGAGGATCCAGGAGCCAGCAGAGCAGAGGGCTGCCCTTGCACAAGGAGCCATCGATGCCTTATGCGGGAGTGTTGCTGTGTCTGGGATGGGACAGGGGCTCCTCATGGCCAAGCCAGTGCCAGATGCTCTTGCACAGCTCATCAGCCTGTGCTGAGGGAGGCAGAGGCTGAGACCTTCCTCCAAGTGTCTATTGCACTCAAGGCACCAGGTGCATGGACTGCTCTGCTCTGAGGTGTAGGATGGATTCTCAGGGAGAATCAAGCGGCTTTGAGTCAAACTCCTCGGGTTTTCAAGCACAGATTTTCCACAGATCCCCCAAAAATTCAGTCTCAGGGCCTGGCCATTGTGTCTCAGTGGCAGGAACATGTGATTTAGGACAAAAGGCCCAAATCCTGCTGCATTCTCTTGTGCAGGTGCAGTGGAGTCCCTTTTTGCACCGAAAGATCCTGTGGTGTACTGACTGCAACACCCCCATCCTCCCCGCGTGTGCTGCCTGAGGGTGGAGGAAGCAGCAGAACCAGGAATGGAGGGGAATTGAGTCTGAAACAGAGGAGGGGATGGAGGGAAAGCATTTCAGCTTTCTGTTTTCCTTTTAGACTTTCTTTTTTTTTTGTTCCCTTTTGTTTTTCTCTCTCACAATCCTGCACTATGCTTTGTCTGTAATAAGTGGAATGAATGTTCTCCGAGTCAAGCCCAGGTTTGCCTGTGATGGTCATGGTGAGTAATCCCACTGTCTTTACTTCAATCCACAACTGTTTTCATGCTACTTTCTCTTGTTCCATAGAAGAGGAAGAGTGAGAAAGCAGCTGGAAGCCAGTCAAGGTCTCTGATTTCTGCATCAATTATGGCAATCAGGAGCCCCTGGTGGTCTAGGGGGTAAAGGCGCCGCGCTATCACCGCGGAGACCCGGGTTCGATTCCCGGTCAGGGCCACTCCCGGGTAGGTGGGGCTCGTTAGCCCTTAAAGGCAACCCACCTACGTCCTAAGGACCTCGCTGCCACCGTCCAAGCTCGCTTGGCCCCGGCAGATGAACCTTAGGATTAAAGGGTGGGCTCAGTTCCGCGCACACTGTGTCTCACCTAAAAAATCCAATGCGCAGGCTGGAAGGTGGAAAGACCTTCCCCGGATCTTCGCTCGCGAAGACTGGCCATTATTATTATTATTATTATGGCAATCAGAAGCGCCTTTGGGGTTTTTCAGTTCTGTGCATTTTCCTTCTTTTTTCTGTGTGTGCCAGCAGGAGCAAATCTGTTTCTCCTACTCCTGTTCCCCTCAGAGGACCAAAGGGCTGCAGGATTTGTGTTATGAGGAAAGGTTGAAGGAATGCAGTCTTTTCTCTCAGGAGAACTCGAGGCTTGGGGAGGACCTCATCACAGTGTTTTAGTACTTAAAGGGGTCTCTGACAGGACTGAGACTTTCTCATCCCACTTATGGAATCATGGAATGTGCTGAGTCAGAAGGGACCCATCAAGATCATTGAGTCCAACTCCTGGCCCTGCACAGGACAGCCCAGCAATCCCACCCTGTCCCTGAGAGCATTTTCCAAATACTTCATAAGCTCTGTCAGCCTTGGGACCGTGCCCAATGCCTTGGGGAGCCTGGTCACTGCCCAACCACCCTGTGGGTGAAAAACCTCCTCCTGATATCCAAGCTAAGCTGTCCCCAGCTCAGCTCCAGATGTTTCCTTGAGTCCTGTTAGGGGTCACAGAGAGCCAAGATTGGTACCTGCCCCTCCACTGCCCCTCAGGATGCTCTTAAAGACCCCAATGAGATCTCCTCTTAATCTCCCCTTTTGCAGGTTGGTCAATCCAAGTGCCCTCAGCTGCTCCTCATATGGCTTCTCCTCCAGACCCTTCACCATCCCCATGATCTCCTTTGGACACTCTCCAATAGCTTAATGTCTTCCTTGTATCGTGGTGCCTGAATTGAGCCACGGGGAGGGGCTGTCTGTGGGGTCACAGGCACAAGGAAGAGGAACTGGAGATGATCTGGGAGCTGGCAACGGAGACCAGAGCTTGGGCAGAAGGTCTCACTGGGAGCAGGTGAAGCCTTGGTCTCTGGACACCACAAGATGTGCCCAGTGGCCAGTCTGATGGAAAAAGGTGGTGTCTCTGCCCTCAGATCAAGGCAGGAGGAGCATGTGTGGAAGATCCCATGCTGCACACAGTGCTGGGAGCCTGAGCTGTTATTTCAAGCCCAGCAGTACCTTCAGGAATTCATTTTCTGCCCCCTGGAGAACATGGATACCCCAGGGGTGCCTGGATTTGGCACATTGCCTGCAGCTGGAGGCCAAGGTCTAAAAAGAAATTTTCAAGTACAACTGAGAAGCATTTGTAAATGTTGGTATTAACAGTGAAGGCACGAGTCATCTGCACAGGGAAGATGCGACCCAAGCCGTGAGAGCCTTTTGGAGGTGTTGGGTTCACAAGGATGGGGACTCCACTGTATCTCTTGAGTGTGGCTGATACCGATCTGAACTTGAATTCCCTCAGCCTTGCCTGTCTGGACAGCAGCTGGGCCCTGCCAGGTGCTGAGGGACTGTATGAGGTGTGGATCTCATTGGATTGTTCCCAGGTGGGCTGGTCAGAGACTCTAGGCCAGGTAACAAAGGAAGGACAGGAAGAGATGAGGTTCTGGGCTGTCCCCAACCATTGTTCCTTCCCATCTCCACTCCTGAAACACTTTGGAGCCAGGGTCTCCCTGATGGCCACTGGCTGTGCAGGATGCAGGCTGGTCTTCATCAGCATCAAGGCAAAGGGCACAAAGTAAGAGCTACTGCAGGCAGTCCCACACATTGCTTTCCCCACGTTTTTCCCTGAGCACACTGGAAGAGTTGCCACGGAACAACAGATGACTCAGAGGCCAAGGCTTGAATGCAGCAAAATTTTAATAAATCTAGGGAAGAAAAGGAGGGGGCTTGCAGAGAGCACCAGCAGCAGCCACTAAAAGGATATCCCATATGGTGTTCTTCTGCCTGCCCTGCTGAGGCAGGTAGGGCATCAGGTC